CGGTGTGGGGGGGGGGGGCTCGTCACTGAATGACATCCAGTAAATTTCTAGCGGAGACCTATCAGAGGGCTGCTGAATAATTTGAATAATTTATCAAGGCCCACGGACGCGGTTCTTTCACTTGTAAAGTAGCCAATTACCACCGAGCCGGTGGCACACGATGGGCGAAAACATGTATTTCACACCCATTGTACGTCGACATAAAGCGCTTATACATTACAAACAGAATTTTCGTAGGACTGCCATTACTTTAGTTTGCAGCATGTGTATTGAGAACGAGTATCTTCATAATTCTGCTGGCTGTTTGTAGAAGAACGGCACAAAAAAACAGTTTTCAATACCAACACAACTTAGCAGATAACACGTAATGAAGACCACTTTTTACGCAGATTGTAGCACTACGTAATGTTACACAAACTAACAGTAGATGTTTTAAGGAATTCACAGAAATGACAATGATAGATAATGTAACGCATATACATTATACAGCACAAAATAAAGAGTAACAGTAATGTAGTCGTCTTTGGCCGGGTATGGCAAGTTATAGTACGTACATGTATCGGTTCAATATAATCTTTAACGGGTAAGTTGACAGCAACAAGCAAGATGCATAGGTTCTATTACTTTTGTAGCTCACTTGCGTCTAGATTTAGGACGAGCCCATGTTACTTTTTCGCCGCAGTTTTTCATGTAGTGGTTACTTCGACAGCCTTTCCGCTGACGCAAACATACTAGTTTGAGGTTCCACAGTTCTTACAACGTTAGCGCTTGAAGTGGTGTTTTCCAAGTTTGTTGGGTCTGGTGATGTTGTCTTTGTTCGCTTGTTGTCTGTCATTTCCCTCCATTTTTATGTTTGGCGGCCCGTCTTCGATGGGTTGGGTTTGCTTCACAAATCTCGGCTTCGCTAAGATCCGTTCCTTCCCGTACGTAGTGGTCGCTCCATTAGCGCTAGTGCAGCCACATTTGAATGTGTAAAACTTAATGTCTACAGTCCCGTTTTGATTCGTTCATCAAAGTAGATTTTACTAAGGTATGACTTTACTAACTGATTGTGGAAGTACTAGTACTTAGTACTGATGTAAACAAGAAACAATATACGCGCTCGGGTTGAGTTCATGGCATTTACATGAAACAAGGTGCTAATAGCCGCTAGTCGGTGACGCGTCAGCAGCCCCATGATTGGTCCCCGCTAGAAATCTACTGGATGTCATATAGTGTACACGGGGGGGGGGGGGGCAAAGCTAGACATGCTAGCTTTGATCAGGTAACTTAAGATGTATTCCCTGTAACACATGTATCGTGTATGTTGTGATGTACTGGTTTAGTTCTGTGCGAGTCTAGAGATTTGTGAATTGTTGACATTGGAATATGAGATTTGTGCAACCATTTCTGTTGCTGCAACTGTAGAATAAACCGTAAGTAAAAATGAGTCCTACTGATTTGAAAAGCCATGACCCTAGGTACAGGGTTACAGAATATATACAGGGGGTGCAAAGCACGTGTACCACAACATAGGGCTGTAGAACACACTACCATCATTGGTTTACGTGGGTCACACTGTTTGTAAGAATGTTTGGATTATGTACCACATTTTGGAATTTCCTTAAGACGTATGTAAATGAGGCCCGGGATTATAACATACACTGCTCAACAAGACCTCCAACCTTCTCCAGTAGGCTATTCAACATTTTCTAATTAACTATGTAAACGTTTTCCAAGTTTTAACAATTTATGTTTGATGTGATTCACCTTTATCTAGCCTACACGTACCAATTGTAGGAATATGTAATCATTTACCAAGTTTACAGTTTGTCATTAATTATGGAAATTGAGTAATGATTTACATTTTTATCATATCAAACAAAGTTACACAATTGATAAATAAATGTTCTGACTTTTTATGAAAGTGAAGTTCTGCTTTGC